CCTCGTATCTTTTCCTTTTGTATGTTTGTCGTTTTTTTTTTTTTTCTTTAAGGAATATTATTAGCTGTATTTTTATTATTTTTATTTTAATATGTCGAGGTCGCGCACGCGTTATTCGTGCGTTGCTTAGTTTTAATATTTTCTTATATATATATATATTTATTTATTTATTTATTAAGCTTCCGAGCTTTCACACATTTGTATCTCGTTGCATAAGCTGTAACATGGTAGCGTGGAAAATTAGCACTCCTCTATTAAAATCCAAAAATACGAGAAATTATAATGGAGATAATTCAATCTCGCTATTCTAATTCTACAGAAGAAAAAGTCTTGCTCCAAAACCAAGAATTACTGATCGGTGCATTTTACGACTCGCAATTATGGAAATGTGTAATCGTTGACATTTAAATTGACGATGAAACGCGTTCTCCCGCTAGTTGTAACTTTGATCTTTAGGGAGTCTGCTTTTTATTGGGAAACAAACAAAATTCCGAATCACTTGACCGCATTCGGCGTTAAATGTCAGGCGTGAATACGCGATTCTAAGCCGGCTGCACGTTCTTCCGATTCTCTTTCTTTTTCTTTCTCATAGAAAGTCAGACATATACACATGTGTTTCGTCTTACGTCACAGAGAATCTTCGATGTCATGTAACTCGAAAAGAGAATCGTTTCTTTTCTTCCTCTTATGTAATGGATTTTTGGGATGAGAAATCAGGGTTTGATTTTTGTCTACTTTATCTATTGATTATTCAATTTAACAATAAAATTTGCGACTCTATGTTGCAAATGACGACTTTAGTATTCTCAAAAAATGCATCGTCATCCTGCACTTTTCTTACATTTAGAATCAGTAAAAAATTTTCCTTGTATAATTATGTATAAAATTGGTTTATGTAAAATATATAATTACATATAATTTTGTATATATATATATATATATATATATATATATATATATATATATATATATATATATATATATATACATAATTACATATAATTATATAATTATATATTCACAACAATATATGATATATCTTATTATATCTAATAACATTTTTTATCGGACTCCTCTGAATAATGACAAATTCTTTGATTTATATTGAAAGCCAATTAAGGTCGATTTCTATGATTAACAATATCAAATAATATTCATATTATTTTATTATATAAGCGTAATTGTCAATTTTTCGTTCTATACAGATAGAAACAAAAGATAGAAGAAATTAGGAACTAATCATCGTTCATCTTGAGCGATTCTGCTACGTAAATTAATTCAATCGATCAAGGATCATAATCCGATGGAAATAAGCCTAACTTAAGAATGATCTGATTCCTTGTCAATTCGTGAGAAATAATTTTCAACACACGACACGAAGGATACAGGATACCTCTCCTCGCCTCGCTCCACTCTTTCGCGAGTTAACCGAGTCGCCTGGTGGCGAAATGGGGTGGGCGGAGGGGGGAGGGATGCCCCTCCGTCAGCGGCGCGTGGCGCATCATATCGCCGACCGCCGACCATAAACCGTAAACGCTTGGCACGGCGGCCGTAGAATTTCTGGCTTAACGATAGATAGTCCGCGCTCGCAGCAGCGCTCGTGTTCACGTTTGGAAAATGGCCGACCACAGGGAACGAGAGTCGTACTATTCGCAGACGGATCTGCGCTCCAAAAATGACGACCCGCCAAATTCGCGGCTCTTCGTCATCTGCCACAAGAGCCTCGAGGAGGACGACCTCAGGAAGGCGTTCGAGAAGTTCGGCAAGATCGAGGACATCTGGGTGGTTAAGGATCGTAATACGGGGGAGAATAAAGGTGATTCCTTCCACGCTTGTTTGTATTGCAAAAACTAGGATCGATTCACGCGTTGCAAAAAAAAAAGCTTCTGGCTTCTTTCCCATTTGTAATGTTCCCGGTGCCTTTCTTTCCGCCTGACGGAAAGATATAATTTCCGTGTTGTTCTTTGATGCTGTGTCACATGCCAGTGACGTATACTTCAGAAGCACTCTATGATTTTTAGATAAGATAATTCTTTATATATTCTTTATCATTTTTCATTATAAAAATATAGACATTTATTTACGAACGTATATTATTTGAGTAGAATTAAAAGTAAATTTTTCTTTAATTATTCTTACATCTAGGAAGAATCGTGCTTTAAGAATTGTAAAGTGTTGGGTGTGTTTGGGCGGTGTATAGTATTCCGCTAATTATTGTCATTTGTCCCAGGTGTCACATATATCAAGTTCTCTAAAACATCAGAAGCAGCATTTGCTTTGGAAGAAATGAACGGCAAGATGCTGGGTTCTGTTGGCAGACCTATAAAAGTGATGATTGCGTCAAAGTAAGGAAACTTTTAGTCGTCATATGACAGAAATCTCAGAAATCTAACGACCATTTTTTAGACTAACTCAATTTTGAAATTAAATTTTGCGTTATGAAATATTCAGGAGCAAATTAAATCTATATTAGGTATTAGATGGCACACCTGCCCAAGTACTTTTTGAAAATCCATCAACATTTCACAAAACCAAATTGTTATTCTAGATCTTAATTAGTCTGATTTTGATAGCACCTTTCTTGATGAACTGTTTACATTCCTGGTTTCTTATTATTTGATTGATTCTTAATCCCTTATAATTTGATTTTAATCGGCACTTTATTTCCGATTTGCAGTCGGGACCAGGGTTCGGTACGCGAGACGAACGAAGAGGAGAGGTGGGTTCGCTTATTCTGTGTATTGCCGAAAACAATGACTGATAGCGAGCTGCAACAGGAGTTTTCCAAGTTTGGCGCGATCGAATATGCCACCGTCGTGAAGGATCGCAGTACGAATGAATCGAAGGGTTTCGGCTATGTCAAGTTCAAGAAGGTGTCCAGCGCGGCGCGAGCGTTCGAAGAGTGTGACAGAAAGTACAAAGCGGTGTTTGCCGAGCCAAAGAAGCCAAAGCCAGATCACAACGATGCCAAGTACAACAATGGTCTGTCTGGTACCGCGTACGACGGCACCGGTAGTAGTTACGGTTCCTCGAACTTCGGGAAAAGCAGCATCAGTCTGGAGATCGCTACCAATTATTCCAACTCGGAAGGCTACACGCGTCTACAGGTGATAGCACATCCGGCCTTAAATCAAGATCAACTGTGGAAATTGTTCGACATTGTGCCCGGGATGGACTATTGTCACTTGAAGACTGACGTGAGATACAGAATGCCACGTGGCCAAGCAGTAGTGGTGTATAACAATCCGAGCGCGGCGGCATACGCACGTGAGAAGTTCCACGGTTTCGAGTATCCACCCGGTCATCGAATGATCGTCAAACCAGATTTGACAAGCGCGCCGCCAAAGAGCGCGTCGAAACCGGGCGGTTCGGCAGCGGGTAGCGTTGCTAGTGCGAGGACGGATCTAGCACATTTGGCAGAGACCATTGCTCAAGCCACGTCGTTGATTCAGGCGGCAGGTCTGACAGCACCGAGTGAGTAAATCGGATGATCTAACACTAGTGCGCTCATGTCCATTTCTATCGATGAGAAGATTAATTTTAATCTCGGCTTAATTTATTTTTTATCTTCTAGTTCCAAAAAATAAAAATTAAACTGTGATTAAAATTGAAATTAATTTACATCGGTACAAATGCGCTAGGAAAATAATATATTGTGTATAATTGTATTTTTCGTTTTAGGTCTGGACCACATATCTGTAAAGTTACCTCCGGTACAACCGATGGCAAGTATAGATGCCGAGGTTGCCAAGAGATGTTTTATCGTGTGCGGTCCGCCGGTGCCGCCCATCTATGCTATGAAGGACGCATTTTGTAGGTTTGGAAATCTCATAGATGTATATATGTTACCCGGCAAAAATTGTGGTTACGCTAAATACGCCAGCGTTAGCAGCGCAAACGAAGCTATCGAGGTACGTTTTTCACGCGTGCGTTTTGAGAAATTCATATTCGGAACACATTGTAGATATTTCTAAATTCAAAATATATTTTTTAGGTCCTGCACGGCCAAGAGATCTGTGGTTCTCGGCTGAAAGTGCTGGAGGCAGAGGAACGAAATGTCGGCGAGGATCGACGAAAACGACTAAGGATGGACGAGGACGAGAATTGAACGTGTTTTAATTAAAATGCGTATCTCGTAAGTAGTAGACGAGTAGTGTAGTGTTGCGTGAAGGAAAAGAGAGTCGTTTCTTTATAATAATCGTAGTACACCCCGAGACGTTGTTTTGCCGACGCTATCACTTTCTCTTTCTCTATTTTACTCTTTCTTTCTCTAACTCTTTCTCTACCTGCTCCTCCTCCTCTTCCTCCTCCTCGGGCAGGGGGGGAAAAAACGGCAGGAGAAAAATGTAATTTTTGCTGTTTGTCTTCACAGACTGACTGGTATACACAAGCCGGACGCACGCAACAAAAAGAGACGAATTTAAAGACTACTACTCACTTGACCACATCAAGGGCCTGCATCCAGGGAAAACTACTCCAACTACTTACCTATATATATTTAACTGTTCGCTTACGTTCGCGCAACTGCAACTCTCTACGTTACTGAAACCTTTAACTGCTACTCTACTACTACTACTACTACTACTACTACTACTACTACTACTACTACTACTACTACTACTACTACTACTACTACTATTACTATTACTTTTTTTATCCTCTTACATGTTCGTTCACACACGATACGTTGCGCGCGCGGATGACCCGTGTTTCTGTTACTTTAAGAGGCCTATGCGAACGGTCGATATTGTCTGAATATTTATTCGCTTTATTCACATCTATATAGAAAGCCTTTCTTCTACACTTTCTTCCTCCGGGCTGTGAAATTTTGCGTGAATCGGAGGAAGCAAAATGCGTACATATTGACGATGTACCGGTTTGTTTCTCAAATCCATCCTTAAGTACGTGAATATATTATTTATATCTTATATTATTTTACCTTTCTTTAATTTTTAATTTTTCTCAATTCTTTTTAATGTTAAGATTCTCTCGTGGTGCGACATAAGTTATGTGATGTCAGAAACGAGAAATGACATGTAAAAAGTTTCTTGCGTCATATAGCTTTATTTTATACTTTCTCTTAAAAATATGATTGTTTCACATTTTTAAAACTTAAAAAATACCAGAAAATAAGATATTTGACCAATAAATCATGTAAAAGTATAAAATAATTTTTGAAATAATGATCACTGCTCAGTTATCAGAAACAATTAGATTTAGTGATCTGATGATTTCTGATAGCTGAGCAACGTACTATTATTTCAAGAATTATTTTACACTTTTATATGATCTATTGGATAGATATCTTTCTGATATTTTTTATAAATTTTAAAAATATAAAAATATGTTTTTAAGAGAAAAGTACAAAATAAAATTATATGACGCAAAACTTTTTGCATGTCTAGTTTCTGACATCATAATTCAATATAGCTGCAGCGAGAGAGCCGAGCCTTGATAATAATAATATTTTATCGAATTGCTCGAAATAATGATAAATGTAACGTTGAAATTATTGAGAGAAATGTGTTTTTCCAAATTAAACGTTTAATTACTATTGATTCTGTGAGAAGCATGAAAAAGTCTGATAACTCTGATTGTTCGCATAGGTTTTTAGGTATAACATACCTTAGGTTTGTAACAAAGAAACTTTTTATTTATGATTAAATTTCTGTACTTTTCTTTTATAGTTATATTGCGTGCAGAAAAAAAGCAAAAATAATTTGTACTTTATACGCCATTGATAACTTTTACGATAAGTTATTGCGGACAAAAGTAATTCCAAAACAAGATATATTGAAATATTAATGAAAGTTTTCTTTTTATGCATAAATGATGCGTAATAACAAAATTGTCATTCGACACATTATATTATGTCATATAATTTTGTTATATTGTTTGACTAATGTCTGTGTGAAATATTTTAATTTATTAATGATATAAATTTTGTAATAAAATTGTAAAACATTTTTAGTCCATCCGCGTTTCCTGCGTATATTGTCACAGCTCAATTTTCATTTTATATATTTAATTATTCAATAAAAATTTATTTTTGCGTTTAAAAAAACATTTGAAACATGAAAATATTTTTATTAAGGAAACTTAACAGTTTAAACTTGAAACATTTAATTTATCAAGGAAATTTCAGAAATATTTTTCAAGTTTTAATAGTAATAAGATAAAAGAAATTTTACAATATCGATATAAACTTGTCGATACTATAAATATTAATTTCTAATTAACATTGAGTGCAACTTGTTTTGGAAGCGATTGATATAGGCAAATGAAATGTATCGGTATGTAAATTATTTTTCGTTTAGAAACACAGGCAAGGAGCGTAGGTTTGTCAAAAAAAAAAAAAAAAAAAAAGAAAAAGAAAGAAAGAAAAGAAAAAGACGATTTCCCGGCAAAACCGATAACCCGATATCCATCATCACGAAATCAGACGACCTCGTCACACACTTAGTGACGCACAACCTTGAACGTTTTATGCTGGACATACATTTTTGTACCACCGTGCGTTAGACTCTCACTGTATTGACCATACCAGATGATGTCCCAGGAGACTGTAACTGTGACTTGTTTCTTTGGTGATATCAAATATACACATGAAATACGTAATAAACCCCAAAAACACTGACTTACTTGATTTTTTCTTATTTACTGTCGAGTGGAGTATTATACGATTATGTCTAATTTGTTTTTGTCAAACTAATGTTCTCTGACAGTCTGACATGTGTTCTTGTTTTCAGAATATCGTGAGGATTCCACGAAGCATCGTACCTGAAGACTGTGATATTATCTCTAGCGTCATAAGATTATTATAATGTTTCTACATAAGTTTGTACATAAAGGAGAAAAGTTTTACAAAATATATTAAATTATTATATTTTAACACGGATACTTGTGATATCTCGAACACGTTAATTTAATTAACCTTTGCCTTACACATGTGCATGTATAGTTTCACTAAATAACTGTAAATAAAAATTTAATCTTACCACCGCTCGTTTATATTTTTAATAAATTAAAAATTAAATTTTTATTTACAAAACAACTAATTTTTGTATCACAATGGAACTTTACATAAATTGTTTTAAATACTTAAAGTATTTATATATAAAAAAAAATTGAGATTTTTATTACTTTTTCATTACATACCTATTTTAAAGTGTATTTTTCTTTATGTTTAATTTTTTCCAGGTTCTGAACTGTCGCAACTTTTTGCGTGTAAACCTAAAATAATCGTATAATAACCATATAATCTTTTCATAATGTTTCCACTGTAAATAAAAATAGGTGTAACATATTTCTTGGAGAAGTGAGAAATTAACGTGCGACTCTATTTTAATCTCGCCGGCCGTCGCTGATCGTCGAAAGGGTGGGCGGGAATGGAGGCAACTTCGCACCGATGTATTGGTTGCCGCGTCGCAGGACGTGGGCGCGGGTGGCCCGCGCTCACGTGTCTCAGAACGTGCGGCCGACTTCTCGCGGCGGAGGATCAAGTCGAGGCCGCGCCGCACCGGCGGCTCACTTCAGTTCGCGTGTAGAGACCCGCGAGCGTCGAGCTCGCAGTGTGTCCCGTCGTCGCGCGCCTCGAGCGATCAACCGAGTTGCAAATCGAAGAATTCCTACTTCTTATTTCCGCCTTTTCTCCGTCGATCCTTCCTGATCCACAATCGAGAGCGAAGTGAAAGATGAATCGCGAACTCGACGGGAGTGCGCGGTGAGGGAGAGGGAAAGGGAGAATCTCTTTTTTTTTCTTTTTCGAGAGGAAACCATACTTTAGACGGGAAAAGAGAGGAAGCGCGCAGGATGGAGGAGAATGCCAAAGTGTCAGATTCGGGATACTCCAATACTTGCAGCCAATCGCAACGCAGGTGAGTGTGATTCTTATTTTTTTCCGAATCTTCTTCGCGCGTGCCGGAAGGGGTGATCGCCATTTTTTTAATCCGGCGGGATACTCTCAGACAAAGTTGGCTATAATAATTTATTTCATGTCTTGTCTTCTGTTTTCAAGTTATTGATATTTAAATGTTGTTGGCGAATTGCACGTGATCTAATCTGGCTTCCAACAAAATAATTCATGAGATAATTTGAGGAAAATTTAAAAAAAAAAATCATGTCCTCGCAAATTTTTCGAATTACGAATTTTTGACGCTTTGCCATGTGAATTTAGGCGCTTGCGCTATACGCTTCGTATATGCATAAATTCATATTAAAGTATCAATTCCGCGCGCATTATGCAATTATGCAATCATTACGCAGAATCTTTCCTGTCGCAGTCTTTAGTTGAAAAAATTAATTTTTATTTTTCCATTATAAGCTCATTAGATTTAATGCAAAATATAACTATATGATATTATTAAGAGTGTATTTGCGAAAGATTTTAACGATTTTATTTTTGCAAATAAAACTAAGATCTTAATTAGAATAAAATGTTCTGACAATTCTATTTCTTTTTAAAAAGAAATTTTATAATTACACCGAAATATACATTAGATATACACGTGACTTCGCTTTGAGCTTTGAGTTTTGATCGCGTTATTCATACGCGATATGTTTACCTTCAATGAATGGTGCGATCACGTCATGAGAGACCGACATTATGAAGCGACAGACAATAAATTTAAAACGTGACTATTACAAGAGAATTCTTACGTTAATTGCTTTGTGAAATGACGTGAGATGCTGATCGTCTCGTTCATAAATTACATTATATATTCCTCCTATATATAATTTCTTAAAAGTTCTTAAAAGAAAATCGTTATATCCAAAGACATATCGTCTGTGATCCATCACGTCACTCGCAATTTCCTTGTATTTCATTTTCCATTTTATATCGCGCTTCTTTATCTTCGTTCCTCACTTTCTTGTTATTTTGCGAATACGCGATATAAATTACATTTATTTACGTATTACCTTTTCTTAGAGAATAATTAATAAAATAATTAAGAATTTCCCTTGTTTGACGTTATGTGCGCGTATTAAATTTCCATTATAGTAAATAATATACTGATTGTTAAATCATTTTTGACTACTTAATCATATCGCATTTTTTCTGAAGCAACCCTCGGGAATCTTGGCATTGACATGCTTTTCTCGTAAGGCGAGCGAATAGAGCAGCATGCGAGAGAGACAGAAACTCGTACACGGTACGGTTAAGGCTAACCGGTTTTCCAGGACGTAGGTATGTGTATATTCGTGTGTGCCGGTTGCATTTCCACGTCCTTTAGTTAACGCGGCTGCAAACGCGGTTGCGAAAACGGGTCGAACGGAAAGGAGATGTTGGCCAAGTCTCGATCTCTCGGCCACGTGACTGCAACGCGGTCGTATCGCGAAACTAATGCAAATTAGAAAGCAGCAGGCCGCACGTCCGAAAATTACACAGAAATTCTCAAATCGTCCCTTTTCTCCCTTCGCAAGAAATATTCCTTATCTTTACACGAAGTGATTCTGCGAGTTCGTCAATTTGTGGACGGCAACGTGGAAATTCCGCGAAGAATCAGGCGACGATTTTTTAGTATATCGAAAATGTTAAAGTTTTTAAACAAGCTACGAATTTTTGCAAACTCTTAGAATTCAGAGATAATAAACGGGAATAAGGAATAAGGATTTAGAAATATACAGAATTAAAAAAACCAAAAATTATTTTCGATCAATGAAAGACCACCATGATGTTCGTCGTTCGTTTGATTAAAGCATTAACTTTCAATATGTCAAAATTAATTTTCTATTTCTAATTCTTTAGAACTTCTTGTTGTATCTGAACTTTAGTTAATCTTTCCAAAAGATTATTATTTGAAATAAAAAAGAGGGCTAAAAGCCACTCAATTTAGTCGAACTTCTACGCTGATTTATCCATCACTTTACGCGCATCTCTCTGTCCCACGAGATTGCTATACATCTTGATATTGCAGTCACAGTCGGTCAATTATTTCCGGATCGATCGAGAATGCCACGGGGGTTAACGTCGGAAATAAAATCCCAGAATAATTGCGCGATTTCAATAGCACGAACATTTTATCTCGGAATTCACGTGGGCGTCATAAATCGATTCTCTCCATATCATATGCGTGTGATGTATATATATATATATATATATATATATATATATATATATGCAGACAAATAATCCCCGGCACGTGCGCACACCATAAACAAATCGGCTTCACAGATTGTGGCACGCAGGATGCTGTAACGTGACATTTCGCTGAAACATCTATTTCCGTGCTTTTACAGATCTATACTAATAATTGGCGCACCCTTGTATGGAGAGACATGTTTTTATTATTATACGTCCACCATTCGCTATTAATCCAATAATAATTAACGAAAGCTAGATGAAGTTTTCGCGTTTGCACAAGTTGATATGAAGGCAAAAAACGAGATATTTTTTTTATCTTGGTTTGAAGAAAAAAACAAGAGGGAACTTTAAATAAATTATTTTTAATAGGAGTACAATTAATAAGGATTACTAGAAACAAATATAAATTTCATTAAAACTTTTAGCAAAATGGCTAGAAGTATTCTGAGTGAATAAACATTAAACATTGTTAGACGACTTGTAATTCTGCGAAATTCTGGGTTGTTATTACATATTGAATTTGAAAGCAGAAACGAGAAAAATCCGGCATATATTCGGTATAATTAATTTGCCCCAAATTACTCAAGTAGTAAGTTACTTAGTATTCAAGTACTTGATTGTTTTTGTAACAATTGGGGGGGGGGCGATCTACCCATTTGGAAACAACAAAGGGGTTACTATTTTATCTTGTCATAATACGAACGAAGTCTTGAAAATAATTGGCGAACGGAATCGATAAGCGTCGTTTGGTGATGGTGGTGGTGGTGGTCGTCGTCGTCGTCCTCGGGGATAGTCACGGGGCCGCGAACGTGAAGCGGCGCTTTCTTATGCAATAATCTTTTTACCACCGAACAAATGCGGCCGGTCGGTCGATCGGCGACAGCCGGCGAATAATGGGGACAGTGAAAGGCCCAATGAGGGAAACAGAGAGAGAGAAGGAGAGAGGCCGCGAGTAAGGGCCGAACGTCACGTTTGCCGAACATGTGATCGAGAGGCTTTTTTCTCGCGACCGGTTCGTCATGATTTCGAATCGCGTGACCGACTTAATTTATCCACATGTATTTATTGCATGTTCCCTTTTAATTATACGAACCAAAATAATGCGCGCTAAACGTACGTCTCTTCCTGAGTTATTAATATCCGATGATACTACAGTATTTTAATTAAACCTGCGTCATATCTTTGTTTATATATACTGATTATTTATAGGAGTACGATTGCGATTACGTTATACTCATCATCATACGATGCATTTTATGTTGTTGCAGAATAATTATATGTTTGTGCTCTACAGTATATATATATTCGTGACTTTTTTAAACGAATTTTTTATTAGATTTTATTAGATTTTAAAAATTGTGTAAGCAAGTGTTACATCGCGATCGAATTATCGTTGATCGCTTTGGAATTGTTTCAAAGTTTTAGTTGCATTTCTTACAATTTATTTACTTGATCTTTCTTATTTGAAGCATCTTTGTAAAGTGCATACTTACATTCCTCTCCTTTTCCTCTCTCTATTTTTCATATACTTTTTCATTTTCTCGCACTCTCGTTGCTCTGGTTATATAATTTAATGATATAATTCTTACATTTTTCTTGATTATAAATTTCATGTTTTTTATTTTATCATGTATATATGAGCAACTCAAATCCAGTCTTGCTTGCGTAGCTTGTACCATTGCTGATCGCGGATACATTACATTAATTTACGAAAAAGTATTTTTTTTTAATCATTTATTTCTATCAAAGTGCTTCTTCTAGATTTTTGGATATTAAAAATGCCACAAGCCAAATTTTTCCAACATATTAAGTTTCTAAAATGATTAAAGTTTAATATGTAAAAAAAGACTTTTTTGCGATATTCAAAGATTTTTCTTATAAAGGAGATTAAAAGTATCTCGAAATTTTAATTAAAAAAACCTTCTTTATAAAAAAAATCTTTAAATATCGCAAAATATCATTTTTTGCATGTTAAACTTCAATTACTTTGAAAAACTTAATGTATTGGGGAAATTTATGGGCTTACAGTTTTTAGCATATTGCATTGTTTTTAGCATCCAAAAATCTACCAAAGCATCTTGGTTCCATCTGGTTCCAAATAACTTTTTGCTGTGGACTAGTGTTATTTATGTGCTGGGACATTCATAACGCTATGCATACTTGGTATAGATCAAAGGATCAGTGTAAACTAGGTCGCTTTCCCGAATGGCCGAGGCCGTTGCGAGATTACTGTGTCGCGTTTTGCAATCGTTTCGCACGTTGCACGCGCACGTTGCACGCGATCAAGCGCAACGAGAGGAATCTCGATCAGAACTCCTGTCCACTAATCGCTGATCTTAACTCAATTAGTTTGTGAAATTGTCACAACAACATTATATAAACAAACGCAGATTATTATCCAACATTTTATCATCACGAGGATGTCGCAAAATCGATACTTTGCAATAACTCCCCCCCCGGCCGAAAATAAAAATCGGAAAGTGCAGTGTAAGATGAGAATAACAGAAGTGTAAACGAAATTTCTAGGTTTTCATAATAAATTGAAACATCGGAACGTAAGAAAAAAGTTTATTTCTCTCTCTCTCTCAAGAATTCTACTTCTTGTTTCAATTTATCTACGCTTCTTAGAAACTTCGTTCACGTTTTCTATTATGCTACCCTTACGTTTCTTTATTTTTATTAGAACTCGAATGTGAAACTTACATATTTTTTTCTGACGGGCAACATTTGCATAAGCAACAATTTTATTCTTATTTTAATTCGATCGATATCTATCCTTTGCTATTATTGCAAATCTTTTGCTTAAAATAAAGCGACCATGATTAGTGCCACCAGAAATACCAGGCCGAGGTCGGACTCGGAGATTCAGTAGTTTATCCGATTTTACGTCAGACATTTCGTATTAACTGAAAAGTAGCGTGGAACGAAATTTCACATATAATAAAATTATCTATGAATTAAATTACAAAATGTATTTATAATTACACATCGATGCGTAGAAAATACCAGGCTGTAGAAAATTTTACTTGCGTTATCTAGCGTAGAGGATAAAGATCATCGGATATTATTTTAAGAACGATTTTAATTCTCGTAATTATCTGTTGCAGTAGCGGTAGCTCAAACTCAAACTCGAGGAGTAATCGTTCCGAAAGCAGTGGCTACTGTGGCAGACGTCCTTCGACCTTCGGATCCAGGTAATTCCATCCATTGTGATTGATTGATGAAGTTTTTGAAATAATCGAGGCAACTTGTCAAATTTGCGATGTAATTTTGCTAAATAAGACAAATTTTGCTTTATAAGACAAATTATCCTAACGTAGATTCCGCCTAAGGCACACAATCTAAAAAAATCTTCATCGAAATCAAAGAAAAATATGAAAATAAACGATGCGAATTGTTGCTATATAATTTAGACGTTAGATTGATCTGCCATTAATTTTATATAATATGTGGGATCGAGTGAACAGATCGTGCAAACGTGACACGGAGCTATTTAATAGCGTGGAGGCTACTTTGAGCGTCGCGGCACACGCGGATTTGCTGTTGAATAACGTCCCTTGGCAATTTAATCGATCGGATTGCAAATAGCTGAATGTATTCCGAAGCTGGCTTCAGAAGCGCAGAAATTACCATCGCGAGATTTCTCCGAGCTGTGAGAATCCATGATATCGACAACAAACGAGAAACGCGACGAAGATCAATGCAGAAAAATTGTTCTTTTAAATTGATTATCTTGGAAAAACCTTGCAGCTTTTCAGACCGTTATATATTCCAATGAATAATCTCGAGGAAGTTAATAATTTGACATATGAATATTTCTTATTCGGAAACGTTATCATTTGTGAATGTTATTATTTTATTATCCCGACGCAGGTAATTCGAAGTCGAAATGTATGTTGTACCACAAATTTTCAAATTTTAATAACTGAATTTATTTCATTTAGTTGGAAAATTAATATTCATTTCTATCAATTTAGATGGATTTTAACTTATGTTGTATTGTTTTTTCTAGGAAAAGTTTTTTCTTAAAAAAAGATAAAGAGTAAATTAAAATATTAGTGTTTGTAGATATTGACAGAAATCTTTTGTAACTAAATTCTTCTTGCAAAGAGATTGATTTTACGTATTTTAAAGAGAAACTTCTAGTCAAAAGCATTTCCTGTTATGAAAAAAGAATATTTGCTTTATTTGCTGGTATTCTCTTCTAGCATAATTTTTTCATACTTATTAGTTTAATATCCTACGATAGACGAGTCCGATCCTCACGTTGTTTTTATTTAACGAAGAATGAAGACGATTAAATAACTATGTGAATACTCCAGGGTCGACTTTCCCGAAGGAAATGATAGCAATCACGCATGTGCGATTATGCTTTCAAGCATTATCAAGTATTATTGTCTAATCGCGTTGCGTGCATGATGAATAAAATGGCTAAAAGTCGGTTACGAAGTCGAGACCAACGTTGTAAACATCGAAGCACGTGTCGCGCCACGTGCCGCCACTTGTCTAGATATTAGTCAGACTCTCATAATTGTTGCGTAATAGATAAAGAGAAATGAAACATTATAATAAGCGAATATCGATCACAAGATTCCCGGTCGAAGTCGATTGGCTGATTAACTTCTGAAAAAGTTCGACGGAGTGGATCGTTACGCAAATTTTTGCGAGCTTTGCAAAAAGATATCCAAAATGCAATTTTTTAAGAAACAACAAATTTTTATTGAAGCAATTAAAAGCACCTTACAAATGCGTTATATACTTAAACGCGTTATGATGTATAATTCTCTACAATTTTATAATTGCAATTTGGATATCTAAAACGATCATTTCGTCAAATAATCATGTTATACATTGATGAAGATTTTGGAAGAAAATTAGAAAAATACTATTTAGAAGAAAAGTATACCGGTCTATCGTGTCATTAAAAGTATGTTGCAATCACGCGTATTAATTACTGCATCACATTGCAGTGTATTTTTACTTTAACGCATGATGAGAAATAAATAT